GAGAGAGAGAGAGAGAATTTTTATTGCCTGCGTTCTTCTCGTTACTCATTTCCTCGCATTCACAGAAGCGTGAATAACGTTTTATCACTCGCCGGAGGATATTTACGCGGATTTACATTTTCACGGATGAACGAAAATAACTGTATTTCCTTGCCTTTATATATAGTGGCTTCTTATTCACGGTTTGTGTTTCCCACGAGCCAGGGAACTAGCAGCCGCGTCCGCCTCGCTAGATTTTCCGTCTGCTTTGCACGTGACACACTCGAGATAATTCGAGTCACGCGCCTCGAAGACCAAGCTGTCCGCAACGTTTGCGCGGTGTGAACGTTCGTCGCGTTTTCGAAGCTGTAAACCTGTTCCACAGCGTTGTGACGAAAGGACTAACATTCGAGCTCCTCGTCCCTTTCGATGGACGCGATTGCTCATGAAACGGAGCAACGTGGCCAGAAAATCTGTCTCTCAATGAGAAGGAAAAGAAGAAGAAGAAGAAAAAAGAAAACGTCGCTGGTAGAGCGACGATGATTATCAGTGACCCAAATAATGGCCGCAACGGCGTAGAAACGATGCGCGCCAACTTATCCGTGTTCAACGAGAGCAGCGACCTGCTGCCTTGCGTCGTTGAAACGACGATCGTCGCGATAAATGTAAAATCATTGTATCTTTTACGATCTGTGGAGCAACGTAGCAGAAGTTTCGATCTACTTCAATATTCTACATCGTCGTGTACGATAGCTTTCTTTCTATACTTTTGATTGCCGAATCTTTCGAGCCGACGTGTTTTTCTTCGACGAATTCTTCGCGAAGTCGTTTGAAGTTCCTTCTTCAGCGTCGATAAAACGTTGCAATATTTCTCAAAATAGAACAAGACGATGCGACTCGTTCGAGATCGATGTTGCGGATCGCATGATGATATAGTTCTGTAAACCGTGTGTAGGCTATAAGCGAGATCACCGCAGCGGAGAGTAACCCTAGATAATACGTGTAATTTCATAGTTTCGAGCTAAATATAGCCGACTGAATCGAAAGGTCGTGAAATTGTATCGTGGCGTTACGACCACGGCGAACGAATTTCCTAGCCGAGTTGTGTCGGAACGCATGCAAAGTATTTCTTGTAACGTGCGACTCGCGCTCGCGCTCGCGCTCAGTGACACGGCGTTATCATCTCGTTAGGCCGCACGTGTTGCACGTTGCATGTCACTGATTTGTCTCGCACGTGATGCCATCTAGTCACCGATTAGCTAAATTCTCGTGATTTGCCTCAGCAAGATTGC